CAGAATTGCACAAACTTGGCTTTAAGCACTCCCTTGACTTTGTCCATGTACACATCAAACTATATTCACTTAAAAAGTCAAAGGAGCAGCCAATAAAAAAATATATAATCTCAAATAAACTACATTTTAAATCAAACAATAAAATAACATAAAAACTGAAACTCATTTTCGCACTACAAAAGGAAATATCCACTTACTTTATTAATGAATTAACATGTCTTCAGTCACACAAAATTCCTCAACAGCATCCAAAAACTTCCTAAAATTATCTAAACTAGAATCTTTATACTGGCATCACCACATAAATTCACAAAATAAGAGTAAAAAATATCCTCCGTAACTACGTTCGACCATACCCACTTCCTTCCTACTGTAACATTTTAGTATTTAACAAATAACTACGTTTATTATTGGAGTGGCAATGACATATCTGTATCATGTAACCATTGCTCAGCAACGTAAGAAATTGTTTAAAATTATTATTCTAAAAGTTTTACCAGCTAGGAGACATATGAAAAATTTATAACTAAAAGACTGTATTCAAATCATCTATTTCCGTAAACTAAAAATAAAATTTAAGTTTTACTAAAAACATCATGTGTTATTTTGTTAAATACTGCAAAATACGTTACACTACAAACAGGACACCTAATAATGGTTACTAAGTAAACCTTCATTTACACACCAGTCAAGTAATGCTCTTTTCCCCTTTCTTTCCAAATCGTAAAGAAACTTCAAATTAATCTTACCACATTTGGCCATTTTACCATCTAAACCACAAAACAAGCAATATACTTCCTAATCAACACACACCACAAGCCCTTACGAATTTACCGCAATCATGCAGCCGAAAACGTCATAATAGGGTTTCCATAATCTGGCGCACATGCACTCTCTTCCGATATGCCAACAAATCGCCAGGAGTTGGTTATCTGAAAACTGCCAACTTCGCAATAATACAAGGGGTACCCTTCTCTCTACTCTAACCGATGAGAGAAAACTATCACCAATTTAATTTAATCGATTAACAATAGGGGAAGTGCAGAATCACCCACTGCTTGGTGCGTTTTTAAGAACTGCACATACTTCATATCCATGTATACATCGAACTATTTTTACTTAAAAAAAATCCCAGAATTGCACAAAAATGGCATTGGGCACTCCCTTTATACTCCATCGACATATTTTCACTTAAAAAGGTCAAAGAAAATTGACAAAAAATCCAATTCGGTTGATCTTTACATTACGGTAACTTGGCGATTTTTTGGCGAAAATTTGGCGACCAACTCCCCTACAGCAACCCTCTATTTTTTTTTCCCCGCCGCCATTTTGTCTTCACGAAGTAAAGACATGTTCTTTTCTTTCTTCTTATCTACTGAACCTTGAACACTTCTTCCAACAATCTACTAGCCGAATTACACACTTATACTAGAAATTTTATCAAACAAAACTGCTTAATCATGACAAATATTCACTGCAAAATTCGGAAAAAGTGCACAATACCATACACCTTACGCATTTTTCAAAATAACACATACACATAAACCATGTACACGCCGACTTATTTTTACTTAAAAAAACATCCCAGAATTGCACAAAAATGGCATTGCGCACACTCTTCACTATATCCATGTACACTGCTTTTTTCTCATAAATTCGAAAAATTTCACGAAAATACATGATAATTTTCTCAATCTTTAAACCCGGTAAAAAGAACATATATGAAATTACCTGATCGCGAAAAAGTATTTACCCTTTACAAATATGAACATTTCCACATATAAAATAAATAAAATATCCAAAAACTTTTTACCTCTAAATCATCTATTACATTATACACGTCACCACGAATTCATACATGAAGCATTACAAATATTTAGTATCAATATTTTAAATTATTTCCATGCACGTTTTTATTTCAACTTAAACGTAAACCAAATTCCTACAAGCATAAAATTCACAAAATAACTATCATTTCATTAAAATATCACTGAACCATGTACACGTCGACTTATTTTTACTTAAAAAAACATCCCAGAATTGCACAAAAATGGCATTGCCACACTCTTCACTATATCCATGTACACTGCTTTTATCTCATAAATTAAAAAAATTTCACGAAAATACATGACAATTTTCTCAATCTTTAAAACCCGGTAAAAAGAACATATATGAAATTACATGATCGCGAAAAAGTATTTACCCTTTACAAATATGAACATTTCCACATATAAAATAAATAAATATCCAAAAACTTTTACCTCTAAATCATCTATAACATTATACAAGTCACCAACGAATTCATACATGAAGCATTACAAATATTTATTATCAAATATTTAAATTATTTCCATGCACATTTATTTCAACTTAAACATACACCAAATTCCTACAAGTATAAAATTCACAAAATAACTATCATTTCATTAAAATATAATTAAATTCAAAACACCACTTAAAATATACATGAGCACATACATTCAATTAATAAAATTACCTTACAATCCTAATTACTTTAAACTAAATCATTGCTAATAACAATTTTCCAATAATACCAAATTCCTTTCCTTCTTACATTTCCAACAATGCATAAAAATAATTAAAAATACTAACTTACCTAATCTCCTTTAGAATCTTCATTACGTGGCGGATACACTTTCTTTTCATTCTCTTTCAGAATCTTTAAATCATACTTATCTTTCAAAGCAAGATACCACGTAAATAAATAACATAATAAAACATGTTTATTTCTCTCTCACACAACCTTAAAAAACATTTCTTACTATCCTTTTCAATACCACTAAATACCCATTTCGAATTCACTTTACTTACGGCCATGGGATCCAAAAATTCACAAACACTATTTCACACAACACAGAATAAAGCCAAATACAAATTCCCAGATTTTTCCCCATTAAAGAACAGTAATTCGTCCATTAAAATCACATGACATATCCCATGATCTCTCATTTCCCCCACACAAAATAATGCGTAATCGGAACTCAGTACTGCTCACATTATTACCAAAGTCCCAGGTAGTAACCTTTATCGCCTCCAAAATGTCGCCAAACTACCAGTTACCGTAATGTAAAGATCAACCAAAAGAACATATATGAAATTACCTGATCGCGAAAAAGTATTTACCCTTTACAAATATGAACATTTCCACATATAAAATAAATAAAATATCCAAAAACTTTTACCTCTAAATCATCTATTACATTATACACGTCACCAACGAATTCATACATGAAGCATTACAAATATTTAGTATCAAATATTTAAATTATTTCCATGCACGTTTATTTCAACTTAAACGTAAACCAAATTCCTACAAGCATAAAATTCACAAATAACTATCATTTCATTAAAATATCACTGAACCATGTACACGTCGACTTATTTTTACTTAAAAAACATCCCAGAATTGCACAAAAATGGCATTGCGCACACTCTTCAGTATATCCATGTACACTGCTTTTATCTCATAAATTAAAAAAATTTCACGAAAAATACATGACAATTTTCTCAATCTTTAAACCCGGTAAAAAGAACATATATGAAATTACATGATCGCGAAAAAGTATTTACCCTTTACAAATATGAACATTTCCACATATAAAATAATAAAATATCCAAAAACTTTTACCTCTAAATCATCTATTACATTATACACGTCACCAACGAATTCATACATAAAGCATTACAAATATTTATTATCAAATATTTAAATTATTTCCATGCCACATTTATTTCAACTTAAACATACACCAAATTCCTACAAGTATAAAATTCACAAAATAACTATCATTTCATTAAAATATAATTAAATTCAAAAACACCACTTAAAATATACATGAGCACATACATTCCATTAATAAAAATTATCTTACAATCCTATTTACTTTAAACTAAATCATTGCTAATAACAATTTTCCCAATAATACCAAATTCCTTTCCACCTTACATTTCCAACAATGCATAAAAATAATTAAAAATACTAACTTACCTAATCTCCTTCAGAATCTTCATTAGGTGGCGGATACACTTTTCTTCATTCTCTTTCAGAATCTTTAAAATCATACTTATCTTTCAAAGCAAGATACCACGTAAAATAAATAACATAATAAAACTGTTTATTTCTCTCTCACACAACCTTAAAAAACATTTCTTACTATCCTTTTCAATACCACTAAATACCCATTTCGAATTCACTTTACTTACGGCCATGGGATCCAAAAATTCATCAAACACTGTTTCACACAACACACTATGAAGCTAAATACAAAATGCTAAACGCAATAAAAATTTTCCAGATTTTTCCCCATTAAAGAACAGTAATTCGTCCATTAAAATCACATGACATATCCCATCATCTCTTCCGATTAAAGAACCGTAATTCGTCCATTAATATCACATGACATATCCCATGATCTCTCATTTCCCCCACACAAAATAATTTGCGTAATCGGAACTCAGTACTGCTCCCATTATTACCAAAGTCCCAGGTAGTAACCTTTATCGCCTCCAAAATGTCGCCAAACTACCAGTTACCGTAATGTAAAGATCAACCTCCAATTCTTCTTACTCTATAAGTGGGCGATTCTGCACTTTAGCCCAAAATTATTATTCTATATTCTTATTTCTAATACAGGGAAAATGAATAACCATGGAAAACGAGCTAACTGTCATCAGCTTTGCGCAGGCACATACTATATAAAAAAATAAAGCACGCCGAATACGTGAAATAATTTAATAGCTGTGTACTCGGTCAATTTTCCTTACACGCAGAAAGCTCTAGTGTGCTCTGCAATTATCAAAATAATCCACTTCAAATTTCACTGCACTAATTACACATTATTTAAATTCATAATTTTGATGTTATGAAGCAATATTGTGCATAAATGAAGCTCATCATAAGTAAACCATTTATCATACGCGCGCTAACGATCAACAAATAATTAAAAACCATCAACTCAGTATGAAAGAAAAACTCATACCTGTATTAATTCATCTAGAGCTTCCTGAAGAGTATGTCCAAGGGTTGTATTCCTGTACAGTTGATAACTCATTTCTATCAAAAATGAAATACAGACTGCAAAATAATTTTAAAATACTATTAGTGCCGCACACCAAAGCTGTTGTTATTATATATACAGCTTTGCCGCACACTTACGCATGAAACCAAACGGTAAGTTGGTAATGACGAGTGGTAGTAGTTGAAGTAGTTGCATCTTCTGAAAGCATCTTTCACCTTCTCCAGATTTTAATTTTAGAGAGCTATTCATCAAAAATAGGGAAAATATATTAATAAATTTTTATTACGAATGAATCAATAAGTTTTTAAAATTTTATTTATTTCAGATTACATTATTTTGAGTAAGAAAAATGCGTGCTAGGAATACAAATCCAAATGAATCATTTGACTGTTGTGTGGCATTAACACATAATAGAACTGAAAATGAAGGAAATTCATCTTTAACCGGAAAGCTCAGCTTTGAATTTATTTCGTGTCCTTTTATTTTCCATTAAAGAAATTTTTTAAAAAAATTGCTTGATGATGTTATCGAAAAGTTATTTCATAGTATTCCTTTTTTCAGTCGTAGTTATTCCAAATGTAGTGTTAAGTAAAGGCCAAGTAAAAACCTTAGGTGAAGAAACATGGCATGAAATGCTAACTGGAGAATGGATGGTAGAATTGTACGTATATACATTATGTATTATTTTTTAAATACTTCTGTATATTTAAAAAATTAAATAAGCTATAAAATTTTTGCCAAAATATTTCGTTTCACTGCTGGAATTATTTAAAAATTCGTGTTATTTTATTTCTAGATTACAATATTATTCGCTTTTATTTATTTAAAAAAAATATCTGATGTTCTTCTAAGTAGTGAAGATTCTTTGTATTTCTTAACTATAGGAATATTTAATATAAAGAAATTTTGGGTAAAATGCAAAATCACCCATTGTTTGACGCGTTGTTAAGAATTGCACATACTCAGTATCCATGTACACATCGACCAATTTTCACTTTAAAAAAAATCCCAGAATTGCGCAAAAATGGCATTGTGCACACCCTTGACTTTATCTATGTACACATCGACCTATTTTCCTTAAAAAGTCAGAAAATTGACAAAAAATCCAATTGTTTTTACCCTTCTAAAAAGCGGCAAACAAATAAGTGGACGATTCTGCACTTTACCGGGAATTTTTTCAAAGAAAAAGCATTATTCATTATAGAAAATTATGTTTGAACAACCAACGAGATGAAATTATGCTTTAGCGATAACTCGATAGCAAAATAGTGATGAAGCATCCATTCAGTTATGTTAGCAATTTTTATATAAATTATAATAATGATCTGAAATAGTTATTTACTCTTATGCTTTCATTCAGTCATGTTTAGCCTTTCTTGTATGAATTATAATAATAAAGTATTAAATGAAATTAACCTTTCATCTAAATTAAAACATCAATCGTAGATATTTACTATTATACTTCCTTTCTTGCATTAGGGTTGCCGCAATTATTTTTGGCAGTACTGGCATCAACAATAGTTTGGTGATTTTTTATGGCCTTCAAAACCGAATAGTACCAAAAAATGTTCACTTATGCGTCAAAATAAACTGTAATGCTACCAGCATATCACGGACTCTAGAAGCTAATAAACATATTCTAAAAGTTTTCATTCAGTGTTGAAAATAAGTTTGGATCTTAAATAAAACATTACTCATGTAAATAACAGAACATTCTTTTTAATAAGCTTGCTTACTACACGTACATATTTTTGCTAATTCTATAAATTGTTTTGTTGGCACTTCCAAAAAACAAACCTAACCATAATTATTAGTGGCCAAAACACATTAAGTAAATAAATGAAAGTGGCATAAAATACAAACTACATATCATCTAAAATCCAACAGGTAATACTTAAGTATTCAAACTGTATGATAGGAGGAAAATGAAATATATTGCCTTTTACCTTTGATAAATCAGATGGCTTGTTTTTTGACATGGGGATAAGCAGACAAAAAAAAAAAGTTAGTGCTGATCTGAGGGATGGAAATGGTGATCTTTTTCTCCTATCTTTTAATCTTCTACATCTCCGACTAACTAATCTCTGACAACTCAGCTGAAAACGTCATCATCTAGAAGCCTTGTAGCATTTTCTCAAGTTGGAAGGTGAAACTGCTTTATGTATACAGTACAAAGTCTTAAATCCAAATGCCCAATATCCAGATCTACAGGACCCCAATTTTGGAAGATGAAACTGTTTTACTATAAAATTCAAAGTCTAAAATCGGAGTGTCCTGTTTCCAGACCATTAGGAAATTAAGAAATAAAAATAAACCAGTAAAAGAAAAGTAAACAGCAAGTACAGTAAAAGTTTGACTATCTGGAAAGCTCAGAAAATGTCAAATTCCAGATAGTTGAGTGTATAAAATTAATCATCAATGTCAATAAAATCATCATATAAAAACAGTCATCTTATTTGTTACCCACTTGAATATCAAAAGCCTGCATTTAAAGGAATGTGTGATTCTGAGAAACGAAACACATCGCATGCATAAAAGACGTATTTCATAAGCCTTAAACATGAAAATGAACCGTTTCTATCACCTGGTCATGTAATATTACTTAAATGTCACCAAGATTCAGTTTTTGTGAACTGTTCATTCGTACAGTTGTTAAAATAAGAATTTTTATTAAAATTATTCATTAGGTTTGAGTATTTGTTGTCCAAATATCTAGAATGTAGAATTTAGATGCTTGAATGGCTGGCACTTTAAAATTGCTTCCCGAATATCTTACCCACAAAAGACTGCTTGAAGTGGCAGATAAGCCAAAGAATATGTATTGTCAGAGTCGTAGCTAGGGTTTTCAGCACCCAGGGGCAACTGAAGATTTCGTGCCCTGTACTGCTTGCCAAGGATGGAAAACATTTAATTCTAAAATGTCGTAACATCAGTTTGGCATCCCTTGGATTCTGCGCCAGGGGACAGATGCCCCCTCTTGCCCTCCCTCTAGCTATGCCCCTGTGTATTGTACATAAGACGTTCTTTGGATAAGCCTCCCAACATCTTAACAGAGATGGATACAGGTTTTATTTCTAGCAGCGGTTGTTCATGGAGCCCTTGTAGCCACCTGAAATAGAACAATCTGTTAATCCACAATCTACCTAGTATCCCAGCTTGATAAGGTCATGGGAGGATGCATTCGTATCATTCATTACATTCATTTCTATGGGGAAAATTGTTTCAGTTTATAATTATTTCACACTTTAATGAATTAAATTTATGAACCAAAGTTCCACTTTTTCTTTTCGATTTGTTTTCAGGAAAAGTTTTAAATTTTGTGTATGTATTAAAACATGTGTACAAAAATTGCCATATGTTATACAGTTACCTAGTACAGTCAAAAGTCATTAATCCGGACTCATCGGGGCTTCGGCGATTCCGGATTATTGATTTTTCCAGATTATAGATCATCAGTTTAAATCCCGTAAGATGGCATGCAGAAATTCTAAAATTAAAAATATGAAACGGTAATTTATGAAACAAAGAACAATTATGATCTAAAGGGTATCAAAATTTACAAAAAAAAAAAAAAAAAGGCTTAATATTTATTTGTTTACTTTATTAAACATTTCTTTCAATGTAAGTTGTTTAAGTTGCTTCGTTTTATGTGATAATACTTTCTCTTTAATTCTATAAACAGACATAATTTCTTGTTCAGTTAAAAAGTTCCGCTGTTCAAGTACCGTAATTGCTCTGCTGAGAATACCGACTAACTTGTCAGTCGAAATTTTTTCGTTTTCACTAACCTCTCTGTCACTTTCTTCATGTCTTTATCTATTTTTTGCAGCAATTCTACTTTTTGTTTGATGGATATCGAAACATACTTTCATTTTGTAGATCCTTTGGGAGCTCCAACATCGGAAATTCTATTTGACATAATCGAAAGTTCAAGTTTACTTTTATAAAATTGCTCTTACAGTCTGCAAAAAATAATAAGCCGCATCCAATTCGAAGATTAAGGAACAACGCAATCATCAACATTAACTGAAATAGATAATTAGATAATTTTAGCTTATACTGTCCGTTATACATTAAACGCGCACGTAAAAACGTATTCTGCGCTTGCGCACACGCATATGCGCAGTCGTGAAGGTCTTACGCGCATGCGTAAACGCCTATGCACATGTGTCAACGCGGCACGTGCGCAAAAAGTTTTTAGCTTTGAGGTCCAGATTATAGATCATTCCGGATTATGGGTGTCTGAATTAACGACTTTTGACTGTACTTATTTTTGCATTAAGGATTCTTTATATGTATTATATATATATATATATATATATATAGTTTCGTTTTATTAGCTTTGCACCTTGGTGTCCTGCTTGTCAACAGTTACAGCCTATATGGGAAGAATTTGGTCAGTGGAGTGATGATTTAAGTATAAAAGTTGCAAATGTTGATGTCACCCAAAATCCAGGTAAAGTTTAGTGTGCATAGTTTATTTTTTTACATAAATCTTATTACTGAAACTTAATAATTTTTACAGTTAAATTGCTCAAATATGAATCCAGTTTAATGTTTTTAGTCGTTTAACCATATGTCAAATTGTTGATGTATGAAGGTCTTCAAACAAAATTTTATTATTAAAGATACTTGCCAATTTAAATTTAAAAATAGGTAACATTAATTTTATTAAATTGGTATTCATTTCAGCTTAAAACCACTGTATTTGTGACTTTTGAAAGATAAACAAAATGCAGTGCGATTGTGTATGATTTCAGTTTGTCTCTTTAAATGTTCTAGTTTCACTAGAGTTTTAATTTTATTTTTTTGCGGGAAAGGTAATTAATTTTAAAATAGATCTGTCTTCAATTTTAAAACTACTGAATTATTTAGTTGTGTTTTGAATTTGCTATTAATTGTCATAGTTAAATCCTCATTGTTGTAGCCTTTAATCTTTCATTTAACCTTTAATGTTTCATTTGGCCTTCAATATTAAGCTTTAGGTTTTTCCTTGTTTTTTCATATGTTGCATCTTAAGTTTTTCACACTTATCACTTTTTTCTTTCTGCTTTTGCATAAGCATCTCTTGAAATTTTCCTTGTTATGCCATGTGAAGGACAGTTAAAGAAAATTATATTTGTATGACTGGTTCTTTCAAGCCAACTGAATTAATTGAAAAGTAGAAGAATCCAGTTATAGTGTGACCTGTTTTTGAAATTCAAATGATGTAGAATAAATGTAATTTAATGAATTGAATGTTAAAGAAAAATACCAAGCATTTAGACATATTTCTTGTACAATAAAATGTGTGGTACATGTAATTTAATACAATGAATATTATTGATTTTATTTTTGCTAAATTTTTATTTTTATATGTATTTTGTGTTTTTTGATTCTGTTTAAATATATGACCTATTTCATCTAACTTTCTTCTGAACTGATTGAAGATTTGATGATTATCTGTCTTAAGTTAATATTACATACAGATGTAGAGAGAAAGAAAGAGAAAACAGCAATTAAACAACATAATTTTAGAAAATTCTGTAATTATATATGTATTTAGAGAATAGAAAATTAGCCATATTTGGTCCATGTTGATTTTATATTTCTTGTCTCTTACATATAAAAAAAATATCTGCCATATGCTGTATATATCTATCTACCTATGTATTTATGTATACACATATATATATATTTACTAAAGAAGTATTGATTATATTATCTCCTAATATTAATTTAGTAGAAATATCAAAAAAGAGGGAACCCATATGTAGGAAGTTTAATTCCGAAAATTATGTTTTAAAGTAACTTGAATGTAAATTATGAAAAAAAAAAAAGTTTTACGGGGACTTGAATTTAAATCATGAATAACAAAATTTCAAACTTTGAAAAAGAAATTAAAAATGAAAATAAAAAATTGGTAATTATCGCTATTGATCGGAAATTAGTTGACTTTTCAAGGGGAACAAACGAACTCCCGTTCAATGAACAATTATTAATAAATGTGAAGGTGTTTCGTCTTTTACTCAAGTAAGAATGATGATGCCAAACTGGCAAATTAATTTAGGCCAATATTGTAGTTCCGTGAAGTGATGGGATTTATAACCAAAGTAGAGTACCAAAAAACTCATTCTGAATGAAGCATTTTCGCTAATACAAGATTCTTTATAAATTTTGAGTGAAAAGCAATTTATGTAGTAAAATTTACAAAATACTTGAGTAAATATTCCCCGACACCTTCACTTTTATGCATGTTAATTCAAGACTATTTGTATAAAAATGAACAGTAGTAATCTTAATTGGAATTATGAAATAGAACTCAAAGTAATTGTAATAAACATGAGAAAATTAAGAAACATAACAATGCTATCTTTGCAAAAACAAATCAAACAAAAATTGAACTATATATACAATAAGAAAGAGATGTGTCGCATGCACATTGCTAATTTGTTTTTTTTTTTTTTTTTTTTTTTTTTTTTTTTATCACAAACTCTCTTCTTCTCTCAAGAGCCTTTACCAAGCAACACAAGCCTTCAGTTATACTAATGTAATTTTAGAAACAACACCATAACTGCTGTAAAATGTTCTTAGTGCTTTTTAATGGAGATTTTTTAGAAATTATAGAAAAAAAATTGCAATTGTAACTATGTGAATGTAGGTATGCTTCTGTTATTGGGACTGGATTCAGAAATGTGTGTATGCATGTATGTGTGTGTGTATACACACACATATGTATGTACATATATACCTGCAGAGATGGACGTATATATCCATACATATGTGCGTGCGTACATACCTATATATATATATATATTTCTGAATCCGGTCCGGGTAACCGAACAGTACCTAAATCTATTATGTCTAAGTATATCTAACTATGTAATGTAATTATTTGTAAGCTAGTTGTTCACCCTTAGAAGTTTTTTCTAGGTGTTAATGTGAGTTATATCCTTTTTTTAATCCTTATTGTGGATTCAAGACACAACACAAAAAAGTAAAAATTAACATAAAACTTCGTTTCTTACAGCTAATGAGACTTAAAATAGTACAAAACAACCTATCATCTGTGGTGTTTCAGTGGCTTATTGGAACTTTGTATTACTTTCTATTAAATACTGTACATTAACTGGGTTACAAACCCAGCAAATCTACACAAAGCTCCAAAATTAATTGGGTCAAACTAAGTGCTGCTAACTTTCAACACTTAACCAACCATACCAATGTCATCTGTTCTGATCAGCAGCTTTCTATATTTAAGCAAGCAGCTGTGATGGCAACAACCAGACTTCTATTATGAGTCATGCTGATTATTATTTTGCTTCACAATTAAACTTCACATAAAATTTTCATATACCTCTGGTCTGAGCAAATATGTGATGAAATGAGGCATGAAAAGAATCAATATAAAGCTGTTAGCAAAGCCAAAATAAAAATCCACTAATCTTTAAAATATGTAGGATTATTATAAGTGTAAAATGTTTCAAGAACTTTTATAATTTAATGCTAAAAGCTTTATGAAGCTAATTTTATTCTTGAATTCGCCTTTAAATTAAATGTTAGAGGATATTATGATCTGTAAGTAGGATAATACATCCTACTTTACAGATTTATTTTGTTCTTTAAAATTACAAAAGTGAAGTTACAAAAGTTATATTATACATGTGAAGTTTGGTTTAGATAATTGTTTTAGTTTGTTCAGTTGGTTTTTGCTTTATAGGTCCTTAATTTTTTTTTTCATTGACGATCCTTAAAAATACTTAATTTCCATGTGCAGAACTGTATATGAACTTTGTAAATAATGTTAACTCATAAAAAGTTATGACAAAAAAAATAGACAAAAAGAAAATGTTAGTAGGATGTATTATCCTACTAACATTTTCTGAAACTAATACTGAAGTACCAAGAAAACTGAATGTTGGTATGATGAACTGAGAAACGACTGAAAAAATATTAAAAATCTATGCCAACTCGTATCACTGCAGTGGAATTCTAAACAAATGCTGATATGTAGCTTTTAAAAGTGTGATTTTCTGTTGAACTATATGTGGCTTAAGTGTAAAGGAAACAATGTGTAATAGTAAAGCTTAAAAATTTTAAAATGGGTTAGCAGAAGTGAGAGCAAGAGCAGACTGGTAGATTGTGAGCGCAGCAAGAGAGCATTAAATACCCTTTTGGAGACCATTAAAATCTGAAACCTTTCACTTTTTTTCCCCCTTTTAACTTTTTCTCATGGGAGGGGGGGGAGACTTTCATGTAAATCAAATACCTTCAAATAAATATGTAAGGGCTGTTTATTTATTTGATAAACTTAAAATGATCAAACAGCATTGAAACTAGGCTAACAATTAAACTTTCACACCTAGCTGACATCTTTTATTGAAATTCCAATGACTATGCAAGTTTATATTTTACTGTTGTTAAATCGGTAATGTAATTGAAATACAAAATCTTCAGGAATGATGACATACATAATACAATACAAAGTCTAATCTGAACCTCAAAAGCTACAAACTTTCTGTGCATGCGTAAACGCATTATGCATTTACGCATGCACGTTTAATGTATAACGGACGGTATAAGTCTATTTCAGTTAATGTTGCAGATTGCGTTGTTCCTTAATCTTCTAATTGGATCTGCCTTATTATTTTTTGCAGACTGTTTGAGCAATTTTATAAAAGTAAGCTTGAACTTTCGATTATGTCAAAAGAATTTCCGATTCTGGAGCTGCCAAAGGATCTACAAAGCGAAAGCATGTTTCGATGTCCATCAAACAAAAAGTGGAATTTCTCAAAAAAATGGATAAAGGCATATCCTTTGTTTCTCTAACCATTCCGATATCTGTTTATCAATTTCACGCTGCTCTGCGGGGGGGGGGACGTCACCGCGTGCAATAAACTGGAAGTTGATCTGTCAGCACTATCCTTACCTTCAGGGCAGATGTTTTTATTTTATTCGGCTTATAATTCCTTACTAAATGTAGTATTTCATCTTGATGTACTCAGTCTTTGATATGATTTAAATCAAATTCCTCGTCATTATAAATATCACGAATACGCATCAAATAGTTTTCTGGTTGCAATTTTCTAATTTCGACTATGTGTAATGTATGTTTTACGCATGCGCGCATTGAAAGAAATGTTTAATAAAGTGAACGAATATATATTAAGCTTTTGGTTGATCTTTACATTACGGTAACTTGGCGATTTTTTGGCGAAAATTTGGCAACCAACTCTCCTACAGCAACCCTCTATTTTTTTCCCCGCCGCCATTTTGTCTTCACGAAGTAAAAGACATGTTTCTTTTCTTTTTATTATCTACTGAACACTTCTTCCAACAATCTAGTAGCCGAATTACACTTATGCTAGAAATTTTATCAAACAAAACTGCTTAATCATGACAAAAATTCACTGCAAAATTGGGAAAAAGTGCACAATACCATACTCCTTACACGTTTCTCAAAATAACACATACACGCCAACTTATTTTTACTTAAAAAAACATCCCAGAATTGCACAAAAATGGCATTGCGCACACCCTTCACTATATCCATGTACACTGCTTTTTTCTCATAAATTAGAAAAATTTCACGAAAATACATGACAATTTTCTCAATCTTTAAACCCCGGTAAAAAAGACATATATGAAATTACCTGATCGCGAAAAAGTATTTACCCTTTACAAATATGAACATTTCCACATATAAAATAAATAAAATATCCAAAAACTTTTACCTCTAAAATCATGTATTACATTATGCACGTCACCAACGAATTCATACTGCAAGCATTAAAAAATACTTAGTATCAATATTTAAATTATTTCCATGCACATTTATTTCAACTTAAACGTATACCAAATTCCTACAAACATAAAATTCACAAAATAACTATCATTTCATTAAAATATAATTAAATTCAAAAACACTACTTAAAATATAAATGAGCACATACATTAAATTAATAAAAATTACCTTACAATCCTAATTACTTTAAACTAAATCATTGCTAATAACGCTATAAATCTGTAATAATCATTGCTAAAAACATTGCTAATAACAATTTTCCCATAATACCAAATTCCTTTCCACCTTACATTGAGAACAATGCATAAAAATAATATCCTCAAATAATTAAAAGTACTAACTTACCTAATCTTCTTCAGAATCTTGATTACGTGGCGGATACACTTTTCTAATTCATTCATTCAATAAAATTATTGAAAGATTTTTTTTCTGCGAATTTTTCCTCCATACTTCCTCCATAAATAAAAAGCAAATTCTCTTTCAATTACACATAAATGGCCATAAATACCCATTTTCGAATTTCACTTTAGTATAGGGCCATGGGATCCAAAAATTAAACAACACTGTTTCACAACAACACAGAATGAAAGCTAAATACAAAATTTCCAGCAGATATTTTTTCCCGATTTAATTTACCCCCTTTTCCGATTAAAGAACCAGTAATTCGTCCATTAATATCACATGGACATATCCCATGATCTCTCATTTGCCTCACGCAAAATAATGCGTAATCGGAACTCAGTACTTGCTTCACATTATTCCCGAAAGTCCCAGGTAGTAAACCTTTATCGCCTCCAAAATGTCGCCAAACTACCAGTTACCATATTGTAAAGATGAACCAAGTTTTTTTTTTTTTTTTTTTTTTTTGTAAATTTTGATACCCTTTAGATGATAATTGCTCTTTATTTCATAAATTATGGTTTCATATTTTTAATTTTATAATTTCTGCGTGCTATCTTACCACATTTAAATTGATGATCTATAATCCGGAAAAATCCCTAATCCGGAATCGCCGAAGTCCCGACGAGTCCGGATTAAAGACTTTGCACCGTATACTCAAGTTAGTATGAATAATAAAAATGATGTAAATTAAATAAAAGAAATTCAGGTTTTAAAAGTATTGAATTTACTGATAAGTTCAAGGTGAAGATTAAATTAACTGCTCAAATATTAGAGGGTAGTGGTTTCCAACTGACAAGTGGTGCATTGATTTTGAGACAATTTGTTATTCTAAGTAGAATTAAGTAAAAAAAAAATAATAATAATATTTTGTCAATACTGACTTTCTGTTTTTGACTGTGTAAGATTCAAATGCTGCAATGTTTCATGTCCCCGTTTCCTATATAAAAAGAATGCAATATTTGATATTTGTCACTTGATCCCAATTGAGGAATATTTGTCACTAGATGTACTTTGCTATATGAAACATGCAGTGTTTGAATCTGTCTAATAATATAATAGCTGATCTCATGTTGAACATATCTGTTCTAGAGGAGGCTAAAAAATTGATCTGTTTTGAAATGTGTAAAGTTGCACTAAAAATTTAGTGCATACAAATGTTTCTCTGTTTTTCCTTAAAATATTTCTCAAATTTATTTTATTATTTATAAATTTTAATTGAGCTTAAAAGGGAGTAAATTATTTTTTCATACCATGATAATTTCTTTTCTGAAAAGATGAATGTTATGATATGTTATTAACCGAAAAAGGAAAGTCTTTATAAAATATTTTTTGTCAAAACAACTATGTATTTTTTATGCTTACTTTTTCTTTGTTTTTATCTTTTCACTAGAGGGAAATAAAGTAAAAATATGATATTTTATTTCAACATGAAAAGATAACTTTATATTTTTAGGTCTAAGTGGACGCTTCATGATCACAGCTTTACCAACGATTTTTCAGTAAGTCTATTTTTTTATAGTTTAGTTTGAGAAATTAAAAATTGTGTTCCTTTTATCTATGTTCACATACATTTAATTAAATACTCTCTGATTATCCGCATCCACAAGAAATGTTGCCAACTTATGCATCACTTTGTGGCTTGGCAAAAAAACATTTGTTTGGCTATTTTTAACGGTCCATAGGTATTATTCCATTTATAAATAATATTGATAAAAAAAGCATTTTCTGAGGAAAAAGAAACAAGAATCTGTATAACTGATATTTATTTTTACGTTTGGTAGATATTATTTAGCAAAATAACCATTTAATTATAAAGCATGTAAATTGCATATACTCAGACCTGTAGTTTTCTCATGCATGCATGATTTGTTTTTTATTGCACATGTACTCAAAAATTGCAATTTTACCAAAAGTCAAAACCAGGGGTGCATATTAATCGGTTATCTTTACTTGAAAATAACACCTCCTCTTTCCTTTCTTGCTGTATTTTAGTTGTAAAAATTTAATATATAATAATAATAGTCTTACAGGTTACAGGTTCTTTGATCAGTGAAACTGTAAAATGAGAGGAAGGATTTAATTGTGATAACACTTAAATAAAAATTATACTGTTCAAATGCTAAATAGTTTATATAGGTAATTACTGTATGTACAGGGTGATTCAATGATCATGGGACAAACTTGTAGGAGTGGTTAAGCATAATAAAAGATGTATTTTTTGTATAGGAATGTAGGGTCTAAAGTGACATGTTAAGCCACAAATGCAAAAAATGACACAGAAGGGAAAAATGATTTTATATACAAAATCAACGCAAAGCGTTTCTTTGCAGCAATACAGTATTCACAAGAAATGTTCAAAATTGTAACCACCAGTAATAATACATGCTTGGTAACGTCATAAAAGAGTTTGTCGAACACTTTGAAAAATGTGAGGCATTTCATGCACGCTTGCAGCCACAATAGATATTCGTGCAACGAGGTCCTCCAGCGAGTCAACGGGTGTCTCGTAAATGATGCCCTTCATATGCCCCATAAACAGAAATCCATGCTGTATGAATCTGGTGAACGGGGTGGGCCATGGGACTGGTCCACTGTGCCCAATCCATCGCCCTGCAAAATTATCATCCAAGTAATTTTGGCCAAAGTAATTCTTCCGCTGATGCATCGGATTTCGGTTTGTGCAGCTCACTACCGCCCTCTACCCCCTGCATTGCCAGCCAGTCACAGCTGTTCATATTACTGTTGCTGGTCACGTTCTTGAACATTTCTTGTGATTACTGTACTGTTACAAAGAAGCACTTTTGTTGATTTTGTAAGTAAACTCATTTTTCCTCTCGTGTCATTTTTCGCGTTTGAGGCTTAACATGCCACTTTAGACCCTACACTCCTATACACAAAATACATGTTTTAGTATGCTCAACCACCCCTGCAAGTTTGGCCTATGATCATGGAATCACCCTGTATAAATCTATAACTATCGCTAATTATAATAGTTATTTCTAACTGAACTATTTTAATTTAGATATGCCTTTACTATGCTGAAACTGATATAACAATGTATCTCCAACTTTTCCTCATCTTTCCTTTGTTCTTTCTTTATCTTATTTTTCTTTCGTTAAAGACATTGTTTTTTCAATAGAAATGACTGTTCACATATATTACTATTTCTTAAATTGTAATAAGCATCTTATTTTCGCTTATTGTGAAGTGTAAAAAATTGTGGGTAACAATTATTCAAAAATTTATTTATCTTTTAAATAGTGTGTTTATAGTGTTAAAATTTGAATTTAATATTTCTTTATTATTATTATGATCAAGTAAGCTGTTCTATTTTTAAATAATCCTTCACCGAGATTTAGAGTAAATAATTCAAAATTACATGCCTGTAAATTGTCTGACTTATCTATGCTTAGTTTTATTCTTGCTTGAGTTTGTCTTCAGAATTGAATAAATATACTTAAGCATTCTAGATTTATACTTTTCATCCTTTAATGACTAAAATTAACATAAGGTTACAAATGCATTATACATATTTTCAACACATGAATCTATATAATTCTTATTGCGTGTGTATAGCATGATATATCATTTGCAATTTCTTTTCAATTCTTTGTTAAATAAATTCACAACAAAGTTTATTTTTCATTTTATTTAAATTAGATAACTTTTAGCAAAGGTATCATTATCATCCTTCCTTCCTTTCTCGGTGAACTGCTATCATCCGCAATGCATTGCATCTGACGATTCATTGTAGCTAATGGTGTTAGAAATGTTCCTCCAAATAATTTAACAAAAGTTACTAACAAAATATAACAAAGATTAAATAATTGAAAATATATTATTAGGCTATCACGGCCTTCCACATCTTTCATTTTTAGCATCTTTTGTGTCACTAACACTATCAGAAACCAGACAGTACCCTCTAGCTGAATGGCATGGGAATGATATAACACAATGCTTATAGATTCACTGAACCTTGAAAATATTTGTGCAATAAATACATTTTGCAATTTCTATTGCTAAAATATGAAATTTAACAGCAGCATTTCACTCAGCAATGGATAAAACCACTGAAAACTAGTAGTTTCTGGTTAATTTCCTAGTGACAGAACAGGCGTCCCATATAAGGTTTTCATGGTTTTTCTCCATATCTGACAAACAATTATGCTTCTCAGAAACATTTTCTCACAAATTCCTGTAGCTAATTGCCCTTGAGCACTTTGCTGCAATACAAAAACAGTGTAACATACAGAACTTTTTTTTTAGTCTATGGCTAGCTACTTAGCTGATTAACCCTGCAATGTAGGAGTCAGCGTACAGAGTATGTCAATGCCCTCTTTTTTGGCTGTAATTTTTAGACAACCCCTTCCTGAGCTTCCTCCTTTCCTCTACCCTCCTTGAAACATTGCTGAGTGCACCTGGTATTTCTGGTCAGTCTGGTTTTCGCCTTCCTTCCGAAAGCAGTTATTGTGAACATGTCGCTTAGGCGAATGCAGTACACCGCTCCTCCAAATATGTACAGAAAGAATATTGTACCTCCTGAAGATTATTTGCGTGTTTTAGAAGAAGTATCGTTTGATGAAGACTCCGACAATTTGGATAACGCATCTGATGTTGATGAATCGGAAGTCATCGAACATTCTGATCATGAAAGTGACTCAGAAATTGAGGGAAATGTGTCTAAACATCCTCATTTTCCTTCCTCAAATGATGTTTCCCTAACAAATGACGATTTTAGTGGTGTTGAAAATGACATGAGTGATTTAAAATATGAGGACTTTTTTGTAAAAAGAATTTACAAAAAGAAGAAAGTTGAAGGAAAGTTTCTGAAAGAAGAAAAGGAAACTTATAAGTGGAATAAAGTTCCCCTCAAGAGCAAATTCGCCAGAATGCCTCGAGAAAATTTGATGGAAAAAAATATGTCCAAGTGCTAAAACTTGTGACGATATAAATGATGAGCTTTCGGCTTTCCAGAAAATCATAAATACAAATATAATTAGTGCTATCGTGCAATATACAAATATTTATCTCAAATGTAACAGGACTGCAGATGATCTCCAAAACATCTCAAAGAGAAGTATGTATGATACCAATTGAGCAGAAATTTTGGCCTTTGTAGGAATTTGATTCTTATTAGGGTGTAAAAAAAAAATGTCAAAACTCAATTTGGAAGAAGCATGGGCAAAAGATGGTACTGGAATTGAAATTTTGCAGTGGATCTCAAGCGATTCAGAAACCTGTGTGCTGCTGTTAGATTCGATGATAAAGGCACAAGGTATGTGCGAAGAAAAACTGATAAGCTTGAAGCACTAAGAGAATTTTTTGAATCTTTCAATCAGAACTGTCAAAACTTTTATACACCAGGTGACGAACTCACAATCGACGAGAAGTTGGAACCCTTTCGCGGGAGATGCTCTTTTATAAGCCCGCAAAGTACGGTCTGAAAATTTTTGCAGTTGTTGACTCAACATTTTGTACATTGAAGCTTGAAATTTACTGTGGCAATCAACCCACAGGACCTCACGAGGCTTCTAATTCATGTATTGATATTGTCAAAAGGCTAATTGGTGCGTATGAAGGTTCCAACCGTAACCTGATGACCGATAATTGGTATATAAGCTACCCGCTAGCTCAATATTTTCTTACCAAAGGTATAACACTTGTGGGCACGCTGAAAAAAAAAATTAAAAGGAAATTCCAAATGAATTCCAGCCATCAAAAACAAGAGAAGTCGGCAGTTCACTGTTTGATTTTCAAAAGGATATGACAATTGTTTCATATGCAACGAAAAAAAATAAGTGTGTAATACTGCTCAGTACTTTACACCATGATGACAAAATTGACCAGGAAACGAATAAACCTCAAATAATCCTGGATTATAACAAATGTAAAGGCGGAGTTGATACCATAGACAAACTTCGTAGTGTAAACGCAACGTATTAATTTTATTTAAAATGTATTTTCCCCGATTGGCAACAACAGTTTTTTTTAGAACGATAATGATTTGAACTGTAAGTTTTTTTAGCAGTAATGTTGACGGTAATGTTTCTGAATAAAGCAAGTATTTAACAATTAATGTTTGACGGAATGTGTTTTTAATAAAGGAACTAATTAAATGCTAACATTTCAGAAGTGGGATAAACTAGAATTATTATCTAGATTTAACAACGTATTGCCTTAACGTACGCTAAGCCTAAACTGAATGTGGAAAACTCGCCAAAACTGAAAGTAGAAAAGGTACGTGAATTTTTATAAACTGTTTATGTTATGTCTAAGTATTAAACAGAAAGAACTTAAGTATAATTATTGTATTAGTATTTGAAAATTGAAGTCTAAAATGGCTTATTTGGCAAGAGGCAAAAAATGTGATTTAAAAGAACTTGCTTTGGAACTTGATGTAGATGGCCCTTCTGATATTAAAATTGTAGGCTTAAGAGATATGATTTTGAATAGTAAGAATTATAATGAAGACTTTACTAAACAAATGCTAGATAGAATT